CAAAACAAGACATTTGACAATGTCACTTTGGGTATAATCTGAGGGAATTTCTTCATTATTTTCAGACATTTTATCAACCAAACAATTAATCGAGGAAGTCATCGGCGTTAATTGACAGTTGCAGTCGTACAATCAGTAACACAGAAAAACACAGTGATAGCAACAAAAATGCTGGTGTCACAGCTGTTTAAGCATTTCTCAAGTCATTTGAGACCAATACAAAGGCAAGTCCAAGTCAGATATCAAGTCCTGATTTTGGTGATCTAAGTGTGGCTCAAATCCAAGTCTCAAGTTTACAGCTCTGGCTAGTACTGCCTGTAAAACATGTTAAATTCCGGATATTAAATAGTGTGATTACTATCCCTTTGACAGAGTCAAAGCAGAATCAAAATAGACATTTATATTGGCTTCATTCAAAGAGAATATATCACACACTATGAGTCGTTTTAACACAGACAGGCCTCATCAATTTGCAATTCTTGCCACATCTTAGAGTAGTTGTTCTGAGATGTAGGCCTATAAAAAGAATGTTAAATGGAGGGAGAGAGTTCATTATAGCCTTCAGATAAGATTCCTGGAAGGCTGCACACAGAAGCAAAGTCACTTCATACAGTCATGAGACCAAAGTGTGACGGCTCTCCAGCTCTTGTCCCCCCTGGACATAGCTCTGAAAGACTGCACGGCATGGGCCGATAGCATGCTGGCACCCTGAGTCCTACTTGAAAGCAGCTGTATAACCTAGTAATGTAGTAAGTGATGGCTATTTCTTCCCAACATCTGGTGCTGATGGTCATGCGAGCCTATGTAAACCCAGGTTAAACCAGTCAAAGGATAGGAGATAGCAGCAGGGCCACTGCCAAGTTAATACCTCTCTTCTGGAATAACAAAGAGAGGGACTACAAAAGCATAAACATGCATATTGCTCTTTGCACACACCATCAAATAACTGCAACTTAAGAGATAGAAGGTAGTAGGTTGGTATTCCCTGCAGAGCTCTATGGGTAGTACACAGCACATGCAAGTCAGCTGAATGCTTGACGAGGAGCTACAGCTCTGCAGAGCAAGCGGAGGGTGGAGGGGGGGTCAGCTGGATAAGAACTACAGGGGAGCTCTCCATTCATAAAATCAACAAACTGACACTGTGACCAATTTTTTGGAAAACCAAGTCCAGGGCCATTGGAAAAACTTTATCAGTCATCTTCAAATGGGCGTGTGCGTGCAGTGCAAAAGGATTAGAGCATGAGATAACAGAGCTCAGAGAAGGAGGCATGCCACAGTGTTTCTGCAGGCTGAAACACGCAAGCAGACACACACACGTGCTCAGTACACAACTAACTTAACACTACTAGCAGTGCTAGAGTCGTTTCTGGAGCACAACAAAGTGATGCAAGACTATTTTCTACCAGCTCACAGAGCGCTAAAGCCCAAGCTGATGACCAGTTCAACCATCTACCATTACATAACAGACAGTGACTTGCAATAATAAAGCTCCATTACTAATTTGTCTGTCTGATGGACCAGCACTGGTTCATCAGGCTGCTCATAGCAGCAGCACAGGAGTGTCCCTCATCCAGGGGTAAGCTGGAGCATGTGACCGGCTCAGGCCAGCACTGTGAGAAACAAGACAGTATTGCACAGAGGCAAAAGACTGTCTGCTCAGATTAACGAGGACATCACCTCAGATTTGGGTAATGATATTTTCCTCGTCTTACAGGCCACAACACAGTTAAAAGAGAACGTCTGCTGAATCTATCTGACAGTTCAATTTGAGCTAAAGGAGCAAAAAATGTGATTATATATATATATATATTTATATGAATATTACCCAGCTCTCACACACTGTGTAACTTATGTACTACTGACTCACAGCTCTGGCCACAGCTCCTCAGTCTGCTAGATCAGACAGGACTAGACAGGAAATTCTTTGGGAGAAAGAGGAGGCCGTTCTTGACACGAAGAGGGAAAATTACACCTCACAAACAATAATGTTGAGACAAGTCTTCAGCAAGGTCTGCAGAGGGCCTAAAATATTTAACTCCCACCAAATAGCAAACAGTCGTGAGTGGGCGCACAGATGTCTAACAAAAGGTATGAGATAAAGAATGCACTATTTCAACATCTCTGAACTTTTCCCGGAGCTGGCGGAATTAAAAGCATACAGCTGAAGCGGACTTGGCAGCCACTCAAGGTGGCATTGACGTGTTACTGGCAATGACAGCGTGTCTTGTCAAACATCTGGCGGAAATGTGTTTTAAACACGTGGCAGCTGCTCTGAACTGAATCTTTTTAGTGTCTAGAGGACTGTTTTGTGCAGAGGACCTCTGTTCCAGTTGTTTTATGACAAAGAACCCGCTGCTAACATCAGCCAGCTACCGCCGCTGCCCTAGCTAACGTTAGTTAGCTTAGGTTAAGTACCTAGCATTTAGCGCTAGCGAGCTAGCTATTTAGCCTGCTAACGCTACGCCCGTGTGTGACTTGGGGGTTTTCTTGCTAGACACTATGTCACCGTGTACACTTTACTTATCACGTCCGAGAGGTATTATAGCGGTACAGTCAGCAAATGCCTCCGGGATCTCGGCTGGTCCCTGACAGGCAGGAGGGGAGCATGCATGAGGAGGGGGGGGGGGACCTGCCACTCAAAACCCCAGATCAGTCACGACGATCCTTAGCGCCAATTTCACTATAAAACCTAGAGGAAAGTGTTTGAGTCCTCAGAGAGGATCACATACCATTCTCTTCACCGTTGAGACTCAGGAAGAGCTGTGTCGTGGCTTTTATCCATCTATCGGCGGTGCTCTCTGTTAGCCTTGGAAGGAAAGCCCGGTGGACGTTGGAGAGATCCGCTTCGGCTGCAGCTCCAACGGAAGGTTGCTTTTTCATAATTGTGCGACTCCAAACTGACGCTGCATGACGAGCCAGCTGACTCAGCCAGCACACTGTCACATGGCCGAGGCGGAGCCAGCGGCCACATGTGCGCTTTGTTTTACTCCCTAATAACTACAAAGAGCCAGCAAAAACACACATCAAGTTAACTGGCCTCTGTCTCACTGACTGACTTAATTATGAACTGCTCTAAAATAACAAGGGCACCAGTGTCTTTATTAATGGTTAATAAATCTTATACTAATAATACGTTATAAATCAGAGGTGGAACATTAACAGAGCCCCTACCCATAAGACATTTTTTACCAAATAAATAAGTCAAATTCAATTCAGAATAATAAAAGATGCAATAATAAAAACATAACTGCAAGTTTCAGAGACTACCTCACTGAAATATGATGGGACTTAAATAGTGGTGGTGCAAGATTTAAAGTGACAAGCACAATATGTTCATCATAAACCCAATAATGGGAAAACATATACATCTAAAGCTGATGATACACGGGGCAACTTTTTGAGCAATGTTGCTGGGCAATGTTGCTGGTGGCAAGTCCGACTATGTTTTGAACGGATAGCGGTGGTGCGGGGCGGGTGGCGTAGTGATGGGCGAAGGGGATTACGGTAGTAATCTTTACTCATTACCATTGACGGCAACGTTGCTCTAAAAGTTGCTCCGTGTATCATCAGCTTAAGACTTATTATTACATACAATACATTATAATAACATTTTATATAGTACCATGGTACATGTACCATTATACTGTCACAAAATACCACAGAACATGTACCATGGTAATGTCAAAAATACTACATACTTGATACCATGGTGTTTGGGTATGTTAAATATATGGTATATGGGCCAATATTTAATATCACAATGGTATTCAGGTATGGTATTTGTACCCCTTTAGAATGTACAGAGGCACATGAAATAAAATACTGAGCTCAGGCAAACAAAACACACAGTTTCTCACAATTTGTTTTATTTTTTTTAAATAAATTTTGCTGGGTATTCTTTTCATGATCTTGGCCACATTTAACAACTTCTGGCGATTACTTTAAACAAAGTCCTAACCTACTAACCCTAAACCTTTATTAATGACTTAATAACATTTATAATCACAGACTTGACAACCTTTTGGAAAGTGAGAAACCTCTGAGCATTTTTAAATGTTTACCAACATTTACAACTGCATTATTATCAATAGACAATTCCCAGCCAAGGGATCCATTGAACATCTAGCAAGATTTATTAACCTGGCAACCAAAACTTATTAATGGACTGGAATTGTTCCATGAATAGTTATTTATTAATCAATAATAAAGCCAGGTTAAGTGTGACTCATTGGAAAGTGGTAACCTATAGGGGTTTCTTTGTTTTACAGATATTAAGTCTATTCATATCAACAGTTATAAATGAGTCATGTCACAAGGAGATACTGGTTAGTGTTTGGAAAGAAAGAAAACCCATAGCGGCCAGTGTAGTCTTTCTTTCCCCATTCTTGTTTAAAGTAAAAATAAGACAAATCCAATTCAGAATAAAAGATGCAATTAGACAATGTAACTTCAAGTTTCAGAGACTACCTCACTGAAATCTGATGGGACTTAAATAGCTGTACAAGCACAATATGTTCATTATAAACCCAATGATGGGAAACCATATATACAACTAATACTTATAACAATAGAAAGTATAATTTTTATGAGTGCTGGTTGGAGGGACCGTTTTAAACAAACAGCCTCCATACCTTGGAATCTAAAAGGAAAGAAAATACTGATCTGACACTTTTTGGCATTTTACCAGCTCATTTTAATCATTTCATACACTGGAAACATTCTTTACTGCAAAATTAATTGTAAGATCTTATTGATTAATGCTTGGCACTGTCCGTCCCCCTCGCTACCTCACAAAACTTAAAATCCCCCCATAAGTCCTGTAAAAAAAACTTGCCCTTTCCTCTCAGTTCATACACGTAGTAATGGCTGTATGGATTTCTTTCCAAGCAGAACAACAAGTCACCGCCTTTCCAGGCATGTGGGGTTTACCTACCGGAAGATTTTTTTCACTGAAGAATCTGTGTGGAAGTTTCAGCAAGGCAAGAAAATACACAAGAACATTAAATAGAAGCTGTTTCATTTAATATAAGGCAATTAAAGAAATCACATCATACAAACAGGTTACAGAGAAAACCCAAAACAGTTATCAAAAATGTATCATTTTGTGGCTACAAGTAATTTGTACCCCCACCCCACCCCTAATGAAATAACTGTCAAGCTAAATATTATAAAGTGCTTTCTCATTTTGTTGTATGCAATCATCACCAGGGTAAAGTCATTACAGATTTCTGAACATGAATCTAACAGACCTTTCAGGCACTAAACAAGCCTTTCAATCACTTAAAACATCTCTGTTCCACAAACACAGTATTTATTAGCCATTCACAGCAGTCAGATGAACCCATACTCTTAAGAATCTGTTGATCAATAATAACATTGTGTTCCCTTGCTTTGCAAATGTAATATTAAAATGTAAAAAAAAAAAAAAAAAAAAGCATCCAGCATATGAGTCCATTCTCAACCTTGTAAGTCAGCATTTTTCTCCTTCTACGGAGCAGTCAGTTCTTCCCTCTAAAGACAAAAGGAGAGAAAAAGTTAATAATTCCTCGGTTTAATGTTTTGGTTCAACAAAAACCAATGAAAGACAAAGAACTTAGATGGGATTTTACTTTGTAATGCGTACTGCATATACTACCTACAGCATACAAGCGGTACGTTCTACAAATACCAAACCACAGAGATAACACATCCAAAAATCCATGCCACAGCTCTCCCAGGTTAACTGCAAGCAACAACATGCAGAGGACAACATGAACATGTTGGTAACTGCATGAAGGAATGAGTGATGAGATTACTTTGGTTGAAAAAGACAGATGAATGGAGAAAGAGAATTATAAAACAAACTGCAGAAATAAAGTTAATGGTATTCCAGGGCCTCAGCTTTAACACAAGTCCACTTTGGAGTGTGGCTCAGAAGCTCTTCAGACAAATCAGAAGATTATTTTCAATCAACTAGAGACACCTAGTGGTCAGTTAATGCAAATCACTGTCCAAACATAGGTCCTCCAACATATTTGTACTATAAAAAGGATTAACATCTGTTGTGTCTTTGAATATCACACTGACCCTGGAAATCAGGAATTAAAATGTCAAAGGAAAAAGAAAAGAAGACAAAAAGAAGCTGGTAAGAAAAGATAAGGCACTGCCGTAAGCAACTGTAAAATGACAGGAGGGATGCAGGGGAGAGAGAGGTCTGGATTGGAGGGAAGCACACCTGGCAGCAAAGGTTCCCTGGAGGAGTCCAAGACCTGGTGAAGATGAAGCCAGGTCAGAATTGTGTCCATTTCCTCTATTCTCTTTCCTCTTTTCTGTCTCTCACATACACACACACAAGCACTTTCACTTATCCACCAACATCCATGCAAATTTCTCTCAGAATTTCTGATTTAACCTAGAACCTCCCGGTGAGAAATATCAGAAACATAGAATTCATTTTTGTTGAATATTAACTATAGTAAATCTTTACAGATATTGGGTCAATTTTAACTTTCAGCATTCAGTTAATGCCTATTGTGTACGTAAACCTGCAGAGACCTTGAAACTTTTTCGGACACAAAACACCAGAAGGGTGTCATGCTTTCAAACATATTGGCAGGTCCAATTTATGGTCCTGGCTGTTGTAATATTCCTATGCTCAACAATAATTTTAAAGCAGACTCACTTTCCTGTTCTCATGCATATTTGATTAACTTTGTTTTCTTTGTGGTTGTTTTTAATTCCATGTTTGTTTGAATGTTATGTATGTGTCCATACTGCATGGCACAGTTTATTTCACATCTAATTAAGTGTGCTATTTAAATAAAGTTTTTCGTAGTTTCGTACATTTTGTTAAGACACTGGCATCCAACACTGCTGAATATTTTTCCCTTTTTAAAAACATTTAAAAACAGTTTATAAACTAATCTTAGAATTCTTATCCTCAATACCACAACATGTCCTTAAGCTTATTGCAGGTGACATCCCAAAATAGTAATGACACAGTGTAACACGCAACACATGCCAGGTTAAGGAGCATGTAAATGACAGATATCAGTTATTCAAGCACAATATACTGGAATAGAGTCAGTCTCTATACTACATGTGGGGGAAGTGTTTGCCTGAATTACGTGCATTGACAGTGCAGTGACGCTGAAGTGTTTCCTCAGAACCTCTGGCTGCAGAGAGGTGAGTGATGTAAAGTGAAGGTCAGGTGGTCTGGTGCAACCGGCTTCCTCTCAGTTTAACTACATGGCAAGACAACTGCTAGGCAAATTGAAAATGATAAAAGCTTTGGAGCTGCAACTGCAACAGTGAAGGTTGTTAATATTTTGTTTTAAACAATTAGAGACTCAGAAACAGACTTACAAGGCAAGTAAGTACAGTTATCTGAGCTGCAATGACTTTGTGGAGACAAATTATGAAACCGCAAACTCTCAGGGCTGACCAGGAAATGGCTTTTTTTGCTGAACAGGTAAAATGCTTTTTTTTATTATTATTATGTTATGCACAAGCAGCTTGGCACTGAAGCACATAAGCCTAGTTTGTATTAGTACATATTCACAGCATCCTCCTAGTTACTAGCAGAGAGCATACGTCTTGGCACCAAGCCTTGCTGTGTACTTCTGGAATAGCGCTGTGTTGACTTTGGTTTCATCACATCACAGATACAAGGTGTTAGGTTCTTCAGAAATATACTGACACCTGTTTGAAAGCACTGAGGAAGTAACAACATAGCTATCAGGTAACACTACTGTGCTAAACGTGTACAGAATCACTTTGAATTCTCTCTCCGGTCCTCTCACCTCATAGGTGGTTCCTGCCCAGAACTGCCTCATCTCTCCCCTGCACCCAGCCACCACGGCGGAGATTATCAGGGTAAAGGGCACCAGGTAGAGCAGGGCAGGCTGGCCCATCCCTGACAGCAGCATCACAGCAAACGTGGCTATCATTCCCAGCAGATAGGCTACAGGGATTGAGAGAGACAGACAAATACAAACACAGAAGGAGAGAGACAAGGTGAACCTGAAACTTGCACCACACACACACAGACGCAATCAGAACTCGACTGCAGTGCTGGGGAAAAGAAAAGACCAGAGACACCTAGTGCTCAGCAAAAACTATTTTGTGTTTCACTAAGCAGAAGTATTAGAAGACTCTGGCTGGCATGTGATGACATACTGTATATAGAGAGCGTGTATATTTAGCTCTGTACATATTTCAGTTATTCTCATACCTTTTCCCTTGCAAGTCATATGACTCTAAACATACAATCATCTTTACCTGTGGTCATGCAAAGTTACAACGTATGGATGGAACAAAACTATAGTTGAGCTGTGAGGTACCTATGCAGCAGCTGACGAAGTAGATCTTTTTGCTGCTGTTGATCCAAACATCAAACCTGCTGCAGTAGGCAACCAGGAGACCTGTTGGACCAATGAGGATGCAGACGGTGAGTGATACATCGCACTACAAATGTTTGCCTTTATTTATTCTTTCTCAGCTCAGACGCAGTGCTGCCATTTCACAATTTTGCATTTTAACATCAGCTTGTTTAGGGATTTTTAAAGCAAAAAAAAGAGAAAAGAAAGAAACACATAGCAATGTGTGCTTTTAAAATATTTACATGGGAGGGTTTAGATGAACACTGATGGTGACACTTTAACCTCACCTGGAACAATGATATCTCCATAACCCAGAATGGAGAACTGCATCCCACACAGGTTCTGAGCCCAAGCTGAGAACCGAGGGACACGCATCACAACTGGCAGCTGGGAGAAGAAAACATTTCATAGGTTTAAAATGACATAAAGCGCGACAGCAGAACTGTTGTGCTGTATACAGCCAAACGCAGTGAGCTGTACTTTGTGTTACACCATTTACTTCATTTCTCAAAGCTGTAGCTGACATATAGGTGCGTACTGCTTTAAAATCTCTTGTTTTATTTCAAACTCCCATCTAATTGCCATCTCAGTTATATACCTCGACTTTCCCAATTTAACAGAATCTGTACAGTCTGGGTAGACAGTTAAGGAGGCAGCAGGGGTGAAGCTACAAATCATGTCCTGTTCTTATAATTAACATTTCCCACCGAAAACCGAAAATCCAGAAACGTAAACTCTGCTACTGGGAGAAACACTGCTTCAGCTATCCCAAGAAGGCTTAACATTCCTTACTGAACCCTCTGGGCGCCTCTATCTGCACAGCAAAAAACTATGCCGAACAGAATTCATGCTGAACAAAAAAAAACCCCTCTCCTATAAACCCCCTGAAGGCGAAATCCAATTTACAGAGAGGTAACAACATGAAAACGGTGCGAAAACTAATTTAGCTCGAGTAGAACTGATGTGTTCAAACGACAAACATGAGTGGCTTCTTAGAATATACCACCTGACAATCATGTGACAGTCTACATGTGTATTTCTGACCCTTTCTTCACATTTCTCTTTTGTGAAAGGGCTGGGGAAAAGTTTAAGCCACAGAAATTTTTTTTCATGTAATATACTACATAGATACACATGAACAGGATGGGCAGCGAGAACAATTTTATATAAATATAAATTTATTTCAAAGAATGCATTTTAATCATCATTAAAGTAAGACATTTTTTAGTTCTCATTTGAATACTTTGTCAGATTTGTCTAACCAAATTTTGACAATTTGTTTGTATCTGATGTATCTGTGCAGGTCATGTGTGTCTATATAGAAGAGTATAAAAAACAAAATAACGGCCCAATACAAAAATTTCCTCATCATATTTTTATCACATATTTATCTGAGAGAAGAATGAAAGTGGGATTCTGCTCATGAGAGTCTAAGACTAAACATCAACAACTCCAATCCCTTCCCACTCACACCAGGCAGCAATGACAAAAGGAATGGATGGTAACAAGTGAAGCCTTACTTTCTCAGAGGGAGTCTGGGGTTCAGCAGGGACCTCCACCATGTTACCTTGCGTCTACGACAGAGCCCACCCAACCCCAGCGCACAGTTAGTCATTCAGTCTATCATTTCCCTAAGGGCATCAACAACAAGCAGTGCAGATCAGCCAGGATGTTAATAAAGCCTGAGCAAACTTGACGGGGAATTCCACCAAAATTAGCTTTTAGCTTCCTGTGCAGGACTTAGCTGATCATGCACTCTTAAGATCACAAACTGCTGCACACTGCTCTTCTTGAACACAAATTTACTCCACCACTTTATTTATTCACAGAACGATGTTTCAGTCTCAGGTCGGGTATAAAGTGCTTGAGTTGGTTAAAGGAAAACGTTTTAAAGATACAGGATGTAAGCTTTCCACATTAAAATGTCTAAAAATGACTAGATCCATGGTATATATTCGATTTGTGTACTAATTATATATATATATATATATATATATATATATATATATATATATATATATATGTTCTCCCACTTAGAAATCATGGAGGGGTCTGAAATTGTCATCGTAGGTGCATGTCCACTGTGAGAGACATAATCTAAAAAAGAAAATCCAGAAATCACAATGTATGATTTTTTAACTATTTATTTGTATGATACAGCTGCAAATAAGTATTTGAACACCTGTCTATCAGCTAGAATTCTGACTCTCAAAGACCTGTTAGTCTGCCTTCAAAATGTCCACCTCCACTCCATTTATTATCCTAAATTAGATGCACCTGTTTGAGGTCGTTAGCTGCATAAAGACACCTGTCCACCCCATACAATCAGTAAGAATCCAACTACTAACATGGCCAAGACCAAAGAGCTGTCAAAAGACACTAGAGACAAAATTGTACACCTCCACAAGGCTGGAAAGGGCTACGGGGAAATTGCCAAGCAGCTTGGTGAAAAAAGGTCCACTGTTGGAGCAATCATTAGAAAATGGAAGAAGCTAAACATGACTGTCAATCTCCCTCGGACTGGGGCTCCATGCAAGATCTCACCTCGTGGGGTCTCAATGATCCTAAGAAAGGTGAGAAATCAGCCCAGAACTACACGGGAGGAGCTGGTCAATGACCTGAAAAGAGCTGGGACCACCGTTTCCAAGGTTACTGTTGGTAATACACTAAGATCACGCATGACACGGAAGGTTCCCCTGCTTAAACCAGCACATGTCAAGGCCCGTCTTCAGTTTGCCAATGACCATTTGGATGATCCAGAGGAGTCATGGGAGAAAGTCATGTGGTCAGATGAGACCAAAATAGAACTTTTTGGTCATAATTCCACTAACCGTGTTTGGAGGAAGACGAATGATGAGTACCATCCCAAGAACACCATCCCTACTGTGAAGCATGGGGGTGGTAGCATCATGCTTTGGGGGTGTTTTTCTGCACATGGGACAGGACGACTGCACTGTATTAAGGAGAGGATGACCGGGGTCATGTATTGTGAGATTTTGGGGAACAACCTCCTTCCCTCAGTTAGAGCATTGAAGATGGGTCGAGGCTGGGTCTTCCAACATGACAATGACCCGAAGCACACAGCCAGGATAATCAAGGAGTGGCTCTGTAAGAAGCATATCAAGGTTCTGGCGTGGCCTAGCCAGTCTCCAGACCTAAACCCAATAGAGAATCTTTGGAGGGAGCTCAAACTCCGTGTTTCTTACCGACAGCCCAGAAACCTGACTGATCTAGAGAAGATCTGTGTGGAGGAGTGGGCCAAAATCCCTCCTGCAGTGTGTGCAAACCTGGTGAAAAACTACAGGAAACGTTTGACCTCTGTAATTGCAAACAAAGGCTACTGTACCAAATATTAACATTGATTTTCTCAGGTGTTCAAATACTTATTTGCAGCTGTATCATACAAATAAATAGTTAAAAAAATCATACATTGTGATTTCTGGATTTTTTTTTTTTTTTGGATTATGTCTCTCACAGTGGACATGCACCTACGATGACAATTTCAGACCCCTCCATGATTTCTAAGTGGGAGAACTTGCAAAATAGCAGGGTGTTCAAATACTTGTTCTCCCCCACTGTGTGTATATTAAAAAATATGAAACGGGATAAAGGATTTAGTCATCAGACGTCTGGATCTTAAGTTATCAGAGAAACAAGCTGAGAACACATTAGCGGGGGCTTTGCTCACAGTGTCCTGTGTCCGCCGAACAACGACAAACACTGATTCTTAACATGAAGCTGCTTTATTCAGAGTTTCTACCGGTTATAATATCCAGGTCTGTATGTTTTGGAGAGGAAGAGACCTCTCCGAATAATTCAGGTCCCGGTAAAAAACTCCTGAACACTGAATCCTAACCGGGAGAAGCTGACTGCATGAAAACTTTGAGAATGCCTAGAAAGATAATTTAGTGGAGTTCCCCTTCAAGGTGAGGGGTAATGCAGGGGACTTACCTTCTCTCCAGATGCATCCGGGCCCAGGGCGACCTGCACCATGATGCTAACTCCATTCTGTCAACAGACAAAGGGTAAGCGATCATATTTTGTTTCTATTCCGTTTGTGAAACCTCCTTACATCACACTGCAACACCAGAGCTCATGTACAGTTCCCTTTGCAAATGTTTGCTTTTTCAGTCAAATTAAACATTTGTGCATCAGTGAAATGCGTTAACTGGAAAACCAAATGAATAATTATATTCATACCTTGGTGAAGAAAGGAGTGATGAAAACGAAGAAGACGTCATACACAAGCAGGAGGCTCAGCAGAATCACACAGATCTATGAGATTATGGGAGAAAATTTCAGACCGATGAAACAGGGAAGAAAAACACCTTAACGGCTTTGCAGAATACAGCATTGCTTTAATTGCCGATGTAAATGTACACACTAGAGGTCTGTCTTGTTGATGCAAAGATATGGGACAGTGTGTGATACACTAACGGCAATAAATACAAAAATAAATACAACAATGCCAGTACAAGTACTCTTATGCCTAACCAAGTATAATATCAAAGATTAAATGACATGAGTGTGATTCTCAGACGAGACGGGCTGGTAAGAGGCACCTTGAAGTTGGACAGTGAAATGGTCTTCATGAAGTTGAGGCAGAAAGCGATGCCAAGCAGGTCCTGCAAGATCCAGATCCATCTACAAGGACACAAAAGGTTCTTTTACCTTTTGTTTAAACTGTGGCATGTTTTTTCAACTTTAACAAGAGCAAAGCATAGTTACACATTATTACTAATAACACCCCCATATGAATTTATGCTAATAGAAAGTCATGACCCAAAGCCTGCAGCAACATGAATGACCGAAAACCATGAAATTCATCTGTAAAAAGATCACAAACAAGTTACGTTAAGGATATTGTGGCAAGGAGGCTGAGGTCATCATCTGCTATATTAGGAACACTGACCTACCTCTAAATATAACATAAGAGACTTGAGCTGCCCTAACCCTGCCAACATCATTATTTGAGCGAGGTTAATATATATTTTAGAAAATACTTTAACTTAAACTAAAGTTGTCATTCATATCACACACACACTCTCTCTCTGACAAGTTAAACTCACAATTGGCTCCAAACATCTAACACCAACGCAGTAAGCACTGGGTGTTGCAATGTCAAAAGCACTGCTGCTGCAATGTGCACTTCCCGCTTTACCACCAGAACACAGTACCTGTCTTCATTCCTGTACACTCCCCAGACCACAGCAACACTAATGCACACAGCAGCCAGTATGAGAGACCTCACTGAGAAGTTCCAATTTCGGATAGAGAAGCTGGAAAAAGACACAGACGATCAAATAAACAAAAGGCTTTCAGCAGTGGAGGTTTGTCTGCCAGGGTGTGACTGAGAGACACACGTGTAAGGAGAAGGCAATAACACACACAGCTCTGTTTCACATCTTCCCACTGTGACCACAATGTCTTGCTTAGATGGGACAAAGGTTATGGTCTATATAGGGAAAAACCAGGAAAAGAAGTAAAGCATTCACACAAAGTCACTTAATAATGCTGAGCTGTTCATCAGGTAGAACTGATGAATACTATTCTATTCAGGCTGACATTGTTATTTCTGTTATTATTTTTTGTGAAGTGATTACACTGTCTGTGGGTCAGAAGGTTCTATTTTATATCTGGCCAACACTAGTGGTAGTATGTGTGCATTTTATTATTATTATTTTTTAGAAAGAGCGACACTCATACCTCACAGTGCCACAACCAATTAGTTCCATCACCGCATCTAGACAGCTGAACAGTGCGGAGGCAGATGCCAGGCAGAATATAGCAATAATGACGTAAACTGCGGGAAAAAGAGAAACACTGATCACATCAACTAAACAGCAGATATTATTACCCCCTTTGAAGAGGTTTTTTTTGGTCCCACTCACCAAGGACGTTGTAGAAGTAGTACATGAGGACCAACATCCCACACATCAGGGCGACAAAGAAAACCACCTTCAGAGGAGAGTACAGGAAAAGCTCTCCGCTGTCCACTTTGTTCTCTCCCCCTCCTCCCCCTCCTCCCCCTGCTCCACCACTAGTCAACCGGTCCCTGCCACAAACAGAAAAACATGTTAATTTATAGCCTATTGTGGTTGTTCTTCACTATACTGAGACACAGAGGCGACATTAATTAAAAATAAATATTAAATAATTCAATAATCAATGTTCAACCGTTAACAACAATATATTCACATTGATATTATATGGTTAATCAATTATATTGTCACAGCATACTAACAAAAAACAGTTAAAACAACTTGAAAAACATGTTCTTCTAGTATGTGTTCTTGTTTGAGCCTATTAAAATGTACAGATACAGCACTTCATGTACAGCTGCAAAAGCTCACCTCTCACACGCCCCACTCCAGTAGCCGCCTAAGGCGACTGTGACGATGGAAATCAGCAGCATGACTGCAATGCTTGGATCAATCTTTGACTGAGGTGGAGCATAAAGCTTCACCTGCATTCCTTCACCAAACACCTGGGGACATGCACGACAACTAAACATTTAATGAGCAACTTTGCATCTAGTTTGACCATCACACTGACCTTTATAAAAAAAAAAGGGGGGGTGACGAAAACAAAAAGACTGTCTGACCTTCTGAGCTTCCAGGAAGTCCCTGTACCTCATGAGCGCCAGGGAAATATGGACCTTTGCATACTCTGAGTCATTGGCTGACGGAGTGATCTGAAGAGCCGAGTAGTACAAAAGAGATTTTTTATAAATGCAGTTAGTTAGACTTGGGAAAATTGTTTATCCAGCCTTTGGGGAGTAATTCTGTGCACGGTATATTGTCAAACAAATATGTCAAAGATGGTAGCGAACCAAATAAAAATCTGTTCCACTGGTATGTCACTTCCTTATTTTTCAGATTCACTTCTGCATGTGCTTCTTACATGTTCAATTCGCATATTCTCACACTATGATCAGGTACAGACAATTAAAGGTAATGGGTCCTCCATTAGTTAATAAGTTACTGAAATCTAAAGGAAAATGGCAAATTGCATCCCTTTGTGTTTTGTTTTTTCACTAACAAATTACAGATTGACGTAAATGACCTACCAAATTTTTGTTGCTGGCAATGAGCAAAGTTGTAGCGCCGAGGCTCTGTGCCACCAGAGCTTTCTGGCTGAACTCACAGTCCCCCCTCATCACCAGCAGCGCTTTGCCCTTTACCAAATCCGGACTGACCCCTGAGCCATTACATAGCAGAGTGGAGGTCATGTTCATCAGTGGATACTGCACCTGGAAAAGTGAAGACAACAAGTGATTTAACAATTAGGAGAAGAGAAAGATTTTCCCATCATAACATAACATACATGAACACATAGAGGAAGTCTCACAATGATGGGTGTTAAAGTAAACAAAACAAAGAAATTGTGATTACTTCTTAACTATAAACAGTTAAGGTTATCACATTAATCAGAGTGGTAAAACACCACCAGCCACAAGTTTGTATATACAGGCTGTAAAATGGTGAAAGTGACATTTTGACATTTGGAATTATTTAAGTGAATCTCAAACTTGTCAACTCCGCTTCCCACCATAGCAGCAAACTGTCTTATTCTGGATGTATTTAAAAAAAAAAGAAAAAAAAAAAAGAGACATAAACTAAAACAAAAGACTAAAGAAGTCAATAAAAGTCAAAAACACTTACCTGACCTGATACTAACATGTAACAAAAGAATAGTGACTAAAAAGGTTTGAAAAAACTTACAGCAGCATCAAGGGTTTGTGACAGGGGGGTCCAGGAGTGATTGTGGACAATGCAGTACTCCCTATCTGTACCTCCATTTGAAATGTGCAAGATCGCCTCTTGGCAGTTTATCTGTTAGGAAATAATGGTTATTTAAAGTTCCACACACACTTAAAAGTGTTGAAGAAAATATATTATATAACATACTCTGCTGGCTAAGGCAGTAAACGATAGCAGCAGATGATCTGTAGCTGGCCTGACACACAGCAAATATTTGCCGCATCCCAGTAGGCTTTTTTTGGGTAAAACTGATACCTATTGAGATTTAATAAAGTTTAGACCGACTTGAAGCCATCTTTAAACTCTCTGCAGACTTTTGTTTTCCTTGAAGAGCCCCCCCCCATGAACTGCAAATAAAACCTAAAATCACTGACACATACAGAACTGTACAGTGATCATAAAATGCCGCAGAGATCAATACACAATTCCTCATTCTTAAAATAAACATCGTATTATTAAAAACTTCCTTAGTGATGACGTGAAAGAGCACGTCGGGGGAATCACCCTCCGACAAACTTTAAAGTTATACTTCTGTATAAGTTAGATTACATTTTAACGGACTAAGAGTGGGGTGTAATTTAATTTCAGCTGCTGTGTACATTAACGTCGTCCCATCATTTAACACTAATGCGGCTCAGAAACTCAGTTTTCTAACATTATCTTGGACCATCGTTAGCTGAGGCCGCTAACGCTACAGCTAACGTTAGCTCACTGGCAGCGGTCATTTTCCTCGTTGTAAACCGGACAACACGGTGCTTGTTAAAAAAAACTAGCACAGTATGTCGACTACACACGAAGAATATGATTTAGACCGGTAACAGTAGTCCAAGCCGACATGTTTAACGACGGTAACTTCAGCTATCAGGCCCGTAGGTCGCTAACCAGTTCAGTTTCTGTTTATTATCGTCAACTTAACTTACCTGCGATGCCAAGAAAATGACCGAGAAAATGACGAGTCTGACAGCTCTTTCCATGTTGGTAACATTCGTTTTTTTACACAGTCTGGAGGCATCAACATTAATGTGACACGGATACACTTTTCATGAGCTAAGACAGTCGTATCTGCATTGCTTTTGTTTAGCTTGCCAGCAGCAGCTAGTCAGGTACTTCCTGTTTTGGCACGTGACACGCTGACCCACTGGTTTCTCTTTCACCTCACAGCGTCCCAGCGACACACACAGCCTGCAAATACTGACCATCAATCATTTACAATTAATAAAGGCGTGAAGGTATAAAACTAACCCACCATGCAGTGAAAATGTAAAAGTACATTAAAATATTTTTAGCGTATTAAAATATCATCTAGGTTCTCTATACATGTTCTCAATAGGCCTTTCTCACAGCAGACATTTTCACTCTCATGGTTAGAAAAGTAGGCTACAGGTTTTATTAAGATTCATCACAGATTCACATAATTATTCATACAGGAGACTGTAGATTCAAGACGAGTATGTTTACGAGTATACAAGAGAGACAAGTCTGTAAACATTCACACTATCACTCCTCCTCTAAATGTGTGTGTGTGTGTGTGTGTGTGTGTGTGTGTGTGTGTGTGTGCGTGTGTGTGTTTGATGCATATCTCTGTGTCAAACCTGAAATGGTGGAATGAGGCTTTGATCACATCACAACACACTCACAGACACACACAGATAAGACAAGCCCTTTTTATCACCTCATTGTGATTTACCTTCATAATTAATCTGTAGACAGTGTTGACTGATGATTGTTGTTGTAATCATCAGGGTCTCCTACACACCAGTTTATGAACTTGAAGGTGTACCATCAATCCAGAATCAAGGCTTTTACTAGACAATAGAACACAATAGATGTATAATTCATAATGTAGATGATTTCTTATCAGTATTATCAATACTGATAGAAATCCTGTATAAGAAGAAATCTCACAATCATTAGCAATACACCCATTCAGAACCACCAAAACAGTTTTGAATAATTTGAAATCATCCTGATTGCTTGAGCTTTAGTCCAATTCAAGCCTCTTAGAACAAAGTGCAAAAAACAGAGACCATAAACTGAATCCAATGAGTGGGACAAGGCTGTCCAACAACACTACAGAGCTGTTGATGAGAAGAGTGGATAATGTATCCACATGATGCACATTGTATTTCCCTTGGAATGAAATGTGCAATCTAAATCAAGTTTTGCTTGTTTGCAACTACATACACAAAGCTCAAACACTCACCATGAGCTCTAGTCAGAGCCATCATGGCAGAAACAAGTCATCACCACTACCAATGTTGTTGCAGTCACTGCCAGTGATTTAACAAAGTTCAGATTAGGCAACAAATTGCCTGACAAAAAAAAATGCATAGTTCAATTCAAATTCAAGTTCATTATAATTATGGAAGGGTTATAAGACAAGTTACTGAACCATTTTTATGTCAAAATGTCAGACTTGAGACTGAGGTAGGATAACAAACTGAACGTTTGGTATTAATAACAGTCCATGTTCAAAATATGCCTGGTAGTGGATTCGCGTTATACAATGACCTTCAGGCTTTTACTTCTCCTCCATCAATAAAAGCCTTCACATTAGCAAAGGAGGCAGACGAATTTGTTAGTTGACAATGCCATCTAAGTTTGTCACTTCATCACACTAATATTCTAAGATAACTAGCATGTTGCCAGCACTGGCCCTGCCCAACCCGCCAATGCAACCAAACAAGCCTGTTGCTACTTCATTCTAGCAAGTACCAAAGCATACACTCCACTTACCTATCTTTGCCCCAGTCACTCATTTCCTCTTTCTTATTTCTCTGCTAGTATACATATTTATTTCTCCAACATAACAATGTTCATTTCAGTTATCAATAACGTGTCTCTCTCTTTCTTATAGAACAAATCAAATGTGCAGGAAAAAAGAACAACATTTCGATCTCTGAGTTAGTTTAGTTTGTGTCACAAAGGCTCGGACAGCATGGAGTATGATGTTATTATATGAATCGCTTCATGACATCCTCCACGTTTACCGCGTTGAGTATTTTTATATTTGGATGACTTGTTTTTCATACTGTAAGCTTTTGTCACTGCTTTTGATTTGCATCGAATCCCCCATGTTCTGCGCTTTGTCCCTTTAGCTTTGCTTGAGAAACTGTGCTCGTGTGACTCATGCAAATCACCCATTCAGTTTAATGTGACCAAGGGTGACAATAGGGTCACGTTTTTGATCGTGATGTACCTTTGTCACCCAGAATTCCTATATTGATGGGCAGCAGTAATTTACGTTTCCTCTTACATATGCAGACTGATTTGAATATTATCTGTCTTTGTAAATTTCATCACATCTTTATATGAGATTAGATAGATTATATTAATAAGGAATGTGTCATCTGTAATGTGATCTTTACAACCATCACTGCTTGCCAGAGAAAGACTGAGAAGCTCAAACTACCATATGGGGATGGATTTTCAAGCATACATGGAGACTTCCTGGCTCACCCCTGAGGTGCCACAGCGCCAAAACCCGAGATAAGCACAGCAGCTTCCTCGCCTTGTGGTCCTCTGACCTGAGTGCCCGGCTGCTGCAGCTATGGCTTTGGGGTTTTTGCTTTAAATGTGTGACTTTCAAATCAGCTGTCTCACTAAACCACACTGTAGCTGCATGGCTATCGCACCTTTACTTTATGATTACATGTTGTTTGCAATGCAGTTTGAGTGTACAATATGTCAGATTTTAGTAGTCACTCCATTAAAATCTATTGATGTATGCATAGATATTTCACAGGAATTTCTTATGGGTAAAGTTTGATTTAAATCTTTGTGTTGCACAAGTCTCTCTCTTTGCATGCAAACTTATGATCTACAAATGAAGAAGCACACTTTCTGAACACATATTCATTGACTTTATAGACTGTTAAACCAAACCAAGTAGAAACTGATGTACCATGCATGCTGCCCATCCGCCTGCACATACACACACTCACAGCTGAAGTCTTTGGGAGCCATGTGGTGCAGATTTACTTATGCTTATTCCCGCTGGGGGCCACTTTAGAGTGTCTAAAAATAAATTATACAGAAGAGAACATTTGTTTACGTTGCAGTGATAAACACACCATTCACTGTGCCTCATCATGCCTAATTATTCACCAAATTATGCAACAGCAGGTGGGACAAACAGCAATCGCTACAGTAGGCTACAGTACCAGTTGCTACAGAGGAATGCTCCTTGAATCATATAAATTCATGGTGGGAAATATGTGCTTTCTTGCCAAGAGTACCACTCTCATGCCTGTCTCTTAAATATAAACCATCAGCTGCTAAGCTAAGCTAAGCAGCTGATGGTTTATATTTAAGAGACAGGCATGAGATGGCGAAACAGCCAGCCTGGGGGTCATACATACACTGTAAAATCCTGAATTTATGAAATTTTGAGAGAGTAAAAAGTGCTGTGGTATGACGGAGGGCCACTGGTGGTAACGGAAAAAGTGAAGTAGAAATTACCATTCTGCTTGTAATATAGCTCTTGTAACCCTTGTACCCTTGTAACACATACAGGGAACATTGTGGCCCTGCTGATTTAACATCGACGTCTGCCAGAGCCTTCTCCCCTGTGTCAAATCCACGCTGTGAGAAAACAAAATTCATGTACCTTTTTTGGCTAATGGCAAACCTTTTGCTGCTCAGCGCTTTCCACAGAATACGAAAGGACGTGCATTTGAAGCCAAGGGTTCAAGAAGTGACATGTTCCTTCAGCTGAGATGGTAAGGTTGACCTGCCTGTGTGCAGCAGGGAGTCACACACTGCAATTTCATGCATGTGTTACAAAGTCATGCATGTTAGGGCATGTAATCCTGTACTGATCCGCCTTACATTGATTGTGAAATCAGCTCAATCAATGGTGAAGGCTCTGTTTCTACCCTCATTCTTTTATTCTTTGCGATGATGCTATAAGATACTTAACATGTAGAATAAAATAAAATACTGTAGCTCTGAAATGGTTTATGCTACTGTATGAAAACCACCTTGGCCAATCCATCATAGTTAACATGTTTGGTTCTGTTTTTTCATGTTTACATTACTGTTTTGTGTTAAAACATACTGTGGCTGTATTTGAAAACTGTAAGTGTGTTATGTGATGTGTGAAACTCATATGTGAGATTTCAAGTTTGTAATGTGTGAGGCTTTAGAGTTGGCAACTGAAGTCTGCCTAGAAGGTTAAAAAACAAACACGTTTTTGGTATATTTTGGAAATGTAGGACAATAATCTAAAGTAAAAAGGAAGTCTAAAGACATGACGCATTCAGAAATGCAGCCTGTGAATGGGGCACAGCTTTCTTAAGGTTTCTTCGTAGCATGATGAAACCATTTACAACTGGTTAGTCACAGGGCAAGGAAGAAACGATGGCTTTGGTTCAGGAAATCCATAGACATTCTGTTCCTGTTTAATTATGTGAATTATATTATATTATAAAATGTATGAAAATGCTATTGAGAACAAACACCCCAGGATGTGGCACTGGGTTCAAAATTTGATAAAGAGTCATATCCAGTAAATTTGCAACAGATTCACATAATTGCCTGTCAGCAGGCATGGAGTAAGAAGAAATAAACCTTCCATTATGTGCCTAATCAACCAACATCAGAACACTTGAGACTGAGAGCTGTTTCCACTTGAGACTGAATTTCATTACCGCCACAATTTGGTGTATTGGTACAAGGGCAGACCAAATTGCCACAAGCAAATGCAGTGGCCACACAGACATCATCATTGGCTTTATCATCGATGCTTAATCAATGCCAGTTTGAAATGACATATGTCGTGAGCATTTCAGTCACATTAAACTGAAAATAGGTGTATTTCCTCATGCGAACCAAATAAGTGTGACCTTCTACTCTTCATATTGTCCCTCTATGTCACATTGTACTATGAAAGACTGTAAATATCTCTGTCACTCGAGTTTGCGTCTGAAGTTTGTTCAGACGCATTTTTCTCCCAGCTTACTTTAATTAACAAATAGTTCAAAGTCAAAGTCATTTTATTTGTCATATGCGGCAAATAACATTACATCATCCAGAACAGAAAAAAACCTTGTGACATGTCACGTGAGAATTGAAGTAGGCAGGAGATATAAACAAAAAAAATCTATACATAGTTATGAATAAAAATAA